CGAAGGCGAGCCTTGACTTTCAAGACATCATAGAAAGAAGTAATTGTTTACAAAAGCTGTTACGCCCTCATTCCAGCTCTATCTTGATATGGGATCATGGGTCATCCGATTGATGACCTTGACAAATGTCCAAAAAATACTTTTTTACAAATTTATGGAGGTCCTGAAAAGGACCGTTTTGTCGTGATGGTTGAGTAATGCTTAGCTATTAGGGTGTTAAACACAGATGAGGCTGGTGAGCTGTATGTATCCATGCGATGCAGTTTCTTCCTCTTTCTATGGATGTTCATGTGGGCTGCAGCTCACTGCTTGCAGGCAGCCTTTCTTTGTGTACTGGAGAATAATGTTCAACGCCATGCGCCGAAAGCCCTGCTGCTGCTGATACCGACGACCGGACACCACCATACACGGTGATTGAAACTGAATCCGCTCAGTGGTAGAGGCCAGCCATGGTAGCTAGCTGCTTGCGGGGAGTCTTTCGTTGTGCACTGGAGAACACCACCACTCACCACTAGGGTGCTTCATTCTGAAAAAAGTGATGAATTTCTGATGGGCCACCCTCCAGTTCGATTCATAGCCCCAAAATATGAACCTGTGCAAAAATTGGTAAAGATTGATGAAGGTTTAGAGGTCGCGCCAATGATTTGAAATTTGTATGGGAATTACTATGGAAGAATTTAAAAAATCGCTTATATCGCTATAACTTTGCTTCTACTTGTCCAAATGTCGAAAAAATTTAGTATGTTATTGCTATGGCAATAAACAAAAAGCCTACAGTTGCTACGCTCAGTTTTGCAGCGTATCAAGAATTATAAAAATGTGAAAAAATGGCAAAATAGGGTAAATTGACAGATGAATATGTACAAGGCAACAACGCCAATTTCATCGCAACAACAACAGGCTTGTTGATCATTGTCATGACAACCACATATTTTTTTTTTCAACGTTTGGACAACTACAACCAAAGTTAGAGCAATGTAAACGAAAATCAATAATTTCCCATACTAATTCACCAAAATCTCCATACAAAATCCAAATCATTGGCGCGACCTCTAAACCTTCATCAATCTTTACCATTTTTTGCACAGGTTCATATTTTGGGGCTATGAATCGAACTGGAGGGTGGCCTATCAAAAATTCATCACTTTTTTCAAAATGAAACACCCTACTCACCACGCGGTGATTGAATAAACACCGTTTGGTGCGGCCGGATGGAATTCATCTTTAAAATCTGTATTAGGGAAATCGCTTTTCGCTGGCAATCGGTGATCATTTTAAATATCAAAGCAACAGTTGCACATTCGTGCAATTTTCTACAGTGATATTTTGAAAAATCATAAAGTCTTAAACTTAACAGATGCGTAGAAATATATCTGATGGATTGGTTATAAAATTATTGAAATTGGTCCAAGGGCAGCTGAGTTATTATCGGTTAAAGTCTTTCATAATTTTGTTACATGTTCGGTTTTCACACGTAGTCTTACGTCAAAAGATGATGCGCGATGCAGGAAGATGTGAGAAATGAAAGAAGATTTTTCGAAGATCAGGGTGGCCAGCGAACCGGGAAAACCGGGAAATATCCGGGAATTTGAAAAGTAACCGGGAAAACCGGGAAAAAATCGGGAATTCGACGAGAGAACCGGGAAAAATAAATTTACCATACCATAGGAACAAATTTTTAAACCATTTAAACCATTAATAAACCATTAAAACAGAATTTTTTTACCAAATGAATGTCTTGCTCTATTTGCTGCGTAACTTTTTCAGTTTCCCGTCTTATTGTTTTTAGAATTTTATCACTCAGCAATATTTCAAATTGATTTCTATCGTTTCAATTTCAGATGTAAAGGCATGGGCCTTAAAGAAAATATTGAAGATGCTGCACTATGCACAAAAATATTTGTAAAAACCGAATCTGAACTATTCTTTTCCAGGGTTTTAATTTTTCGTTTTCAATTCGAAACCAAAATAGCCATGCTATTTTATTCAAAATTCTCATAATATGAATTCCAGAATTAACTTGGAAGTTTGCTTTGAATTATCATGGAATTCAAATTAACCAGAAAATACTCCGCGTAATAATTACCGTTGAATTCTTTTTTGAACTTCCTTGGAACCCCTTTTAAGAATTTGATTGGAATCCTTCTCATAATTCCCTTGAACCTATTCGGAGATTTTGATTCATTTGAAATTTATTTCAAAATTTTCTTTTAACTCTATTCAAAACAGCAGAAATCTTTCAAAATTTTATTTAGAAACCCCTTGTAGTATTTTTTAAAGAATTTCTTTCTAATTTTCAGCATTTTTTTTTTGCTATCAATTTTGTTGGAGCTCTGTGATGAATCTTTCGCACTCTTAGAACTCTGTTTCTTGTTGAATTATCAACATAATTTTCTTTCCTTTTGAAATTTTCTAAAGTTACCTAAGAATTTAATTTTGAACTTGCATCCTTCTCCACAGAAATCCCTCCAAATTCATCTAACAATTTCTAAGGACTTCATGTCAGAATAATTTTGGAATTCTGCTCAGAACTTCTCCTTCAAAAACTGTGTGGGAATTCTTCTCAATATTTGTTTGAAATCAACAATTTGAATACTTTTGAATTTTAGTAACAAATCCAGGGTTTCCAGAGTTTTCAGATTTTGGGACTCTGGCATTTGTGTGGAGTAAATGTCAAAGTCCCAAAATCTTGGGACTCTTCTTAAATCATAATCCTTTCAGTATATTCCTTTCAGTAAATAACCTTTCAATATAGGTGGATAGGTGGTATTATACGTGGATATTAAATTTCATGAACCATGTTTAGTTTCACGTTGAGCGAGTTCCAAAGTCGGTAGGTTTTACATATTTTTTCGTGTTTAACTTGGTACATCAACGCGAGTACTGAAAGGTTAATATTTATATGAGTATAGACAACGGAGTGAATACAAATTTTCTTCATCCGATATATCTAACAATTTCCTTTACTTCTCATTTGAATCAAGTTAATATTTTCTGAAACATTTTTTATAATTAAAGCTTTAATTTTTTCACAATTCTGTCTTATAATTCCAGATAGCATTTGGCCTAGTGACCTTAATCTCTGTTACTCTAGGGCTTTGAAATCATAAGATGTATGGAGCATAAAAACGTTATAGAAATTGATTTTTCAAAGTATTTTGGAAGATCAATTTTTTTGTTTTGAATACATTAAGTGAATCATAAAGTTGAATTTATGCTTTCAGCATTAAAAAAAATACTTTCTGTAATTTTGCATTTATTTTTCCTACAAATAACGTCCGAAAATTTACAATTGGCCGTCTTTTTAAAAATGCGTTCAATTTGTTTTTTGTTGAGTATTAACAACCGGAAAATTTTTAAGATTTGAACCGGGAAAAAAACCGGGAATTTCAAAATGAAAAATGAAATTCAAAATGAAAATTCACTGGCAACCATGGAAGATTGATTCGCTAGTGTGAAATTTTTTGAGCATCTAGAATTGAGATTTAGAGATTTAGGTCGCGGGTGGCTGTGTTTGTTGTCCTGCTCGCATTTGTTTTCGCTTGTAACTGTCACTCTACTTATTTTTAATAGTGACATAGTTTTTATTTAAATTCAGAAGGATATAACTTGTCGCGAGTGCGAATTAATATTCACAACTATCGACCGTCGTGGAGTAGTCCTCAGAACTGGCCATGTGACCTCCCATAGTGCATATATTTTCAAGTTTTTTTTATCACACATGGCTGGAGATGTTACATCACTAATATCCTTCCTTTCCTTGTAACGGAGAAGATGGGCGTGACCGACAATGCTAATTGTCATGCTTTTCCTGTTCTGAACATTGATTGGAGAACTATTCACTCCCAAATAGTTGTTCTTAAGCAATCAGAACAAGACCGTCAAAGAAGATACATGACAGTTTACAAGTATGCAATATACGAATTACTCCGTTACAGCGCAACGCAACGCAACGGATAGTCGCTTCCGTAATGTATTTTTTGAGCCATGTCCAGAAAAGTGTGAAGAGTTTTTGAACTAGTTTGGCAATAACCCGCAATAATCTTGGGCTCATCAGTAGTACAGCAGAACAGTAGTTGTACAATATTATGAAATTGGATGTGATGTTTCCTTTATTTTCGTTTGAATGTTCTTAAATTTATAATGTACACTCGTTCTATCCACTGAAATCTCACTTCTTCGTGTTCAGCGTTGTTCAATTTCGTGAGATTTTATGAAGCTCACAAAAGGAAAAGTTCACGAGTCATTGTGAGTTGTCGAGAATGATTATAGACTCGCTTTTACTCTATTTTGATAGAACTAAGTTTTCTTCCTCCTTTTACCTTCTCCTACGTCCTTTTCTTCCATTCTTCTCTTTTCAGAAAGCGAACCCTATAACTTTAAGCCATATAGGGCTAGAACAAGAGTTAGTGCTCATGTTCCGACCACTAGAGGAAAATGGAGGATCACTTAACCTGTTTAGACTAGATGCTCCCAACGATCAATCATTTATAAATAAAAATACAACGGAACGTACGGTACGAAATCGCTGGTGACGGTGACGAGATGTCCACGTTTCATCCATTTATTGGATTCTGAAGCATCGCGTTTAAATCTTTGATTTAAATGGGCCCGATGAATCTTAATCATCTTGCCCCTTAAATGCTGCACAGCCTGGCAGTTTTGATATATTTTGCGCATTTTTGTTCATGGTAAGAATACCTGTTGTGGATCTTTTCAAGGGAACTGAGATCATATACAAGAATTCTATTCTTGCCAATGGTTATGATATATGAACCAATGTGAAGCACTGGACTTCACTCAAGATTACTGGACATCCTCAAAGTATCGTTTGAATTGTTCTATTTGGGATCTTTGGTCTTATCCTTTGTAGAGTGTCTCACGTGATTCACAATACCAAAAACTGATAGGAAATACTTAATTCGATTTTGACCGCTCAAAGCACAGTAATTCTAATGTTCAACCTTTTCTCCGAAGATGTATCGTTCCACCTCACTTACCACAACATTCTCCGTTGGATTTTCACTGTCTCGCAGGTCCGCATTGACCTGCTCGGTGAACAGCAGCTCCAGATCCACGTTCTCGTCCAAATCCATAAAATCACTGATCGGTATATGATCCGGTTCCAAAAACGTGAAATTTTTCGTTCCAAAATGCTTCAACTCCACCATCACCGTACTGATTCCCACACTATCCGCTTCGTTCTCCGTCGTAGACACAGCGTCCCCATCACTCTTCAATTCCGTTCCCGCAACGTTCAGAAACCGAGTCGACGGCTCACTGGATTTCAAATCTTGGCGTTCCGTTTGCATCTCTTCGCTTTTCACCACTTGCTGTTGTTGCCGCTGCGAACCTCGCATGGGATCATTGTATACGATCTGCAGCAGCAAACCCAGCACAACCACCACAACCAACACTAGCTTTTCCAGCATCCGATTCGAAGCCATCCTGGCAGCTGACTAATCCACACTCTACTAAACTTGCTCCGACACTAACGGCTAGTTTAAAAGCTTTCTTCATACTTGCCTGCTCAAAACATCATCTCGTGCCCTTTTCGACACACCTGATTGTTTCTTGTAAATGAAAATTGAACTGGACTTTGGAATTTTTTCTCCGGAAAGAATGCACACTTCCGATCACAATCACCTGCGGCTATCAAGTGGATTGCAATTCTTCACCCGGAGAGCGATTTACATCAGCAACCGATCTCAGCTCAGCTTCCGACGGACGACGACGACAACGACAACGGTCGTCGAATATCCTTGACTTTGCTCAGCAGGCGCACAGATTCTTCAAACTTGTTCAGCATAAGATTACATCGAATCACACGACGGTGGGTAACAAAGAAACGTATGCAATTATTTATTAAACGTCAGCAATATGATGATGATGATGATGCTACAGCAGCCGGCACCAGCCGGATCAAATCTACATATGCACGGTGGATGACTTCGGTTCTGATGAAGATGTACGACGCTGCCCAATTTGTTCCGCACAACAATAACAGCAACGAGTGGTGCCGCACGGATGATGGGAGACTTCCGCGTGAATCGTTCGCGATCGCGCGATGAAAACCAATAAAAGACCGATTTGATGTTCAGTTGCCGAAGAACGATATCGATGATGGACGCGATCGCGGTTTTTTTTTAATGTGAAGTTGAGACCATAGTAATCCGTTTCGGTTGGTGGTTGGAAATGGACTAAAGCAGGCGTTGGGTGGAAAATTGTTTGGTACCTTCTGCTAAATGTAACGGGCGTAGCATGGCATAGCCTTCTGCGCGCGGTTTCGCCTACCGTAGGTGAAATGGGTACCTTCATAAAGTAAAACTACTGGTCGCGTTTGTTATTGTATTTTGTCTGGCTTGTGGTGAACCATTTTTTGAAGGCTCATTAGGTTGCTGGGCTGTTGGCGAATATAGCTTCATCAGCGGTTGTTTTCGATTGTCGTTGAAATTGTGACGGCACGATGTGCTTCAGCATTAGGATTTAGAGACGTTTGTTATGCATTAAATTGTTGTTGGTGTTAATTTCTCAATTCCCTTTTTACCTTGTGTTTTTATCGTTTTCCTTAAATCTTCATTTAGATTTTTTTTTGTTTCAGCTTATTCTTCGTTATTTCTTTAATTCTTTTTTTTTCTTTACTACGCTTTTGCACTTCTTTCTTTATTTATGACTATTTGTGTTTAGTTTTAAGTCCTCATTTCAGTATCTTAGTTGTTCACTCGTGATTATTTATGCTTCAATATTTTTCTTACAAACTAAACCAAAGCGGGATCAAGTTATAGACACTTTCAGACTGCTTTGCTGGATTTCAAACTTTTTCAGATTGATAAACAAAACAAATTCATGAGTGTGACTCCCTCTGTACGAATGTAGTTGTTGTGATTTATTATTTTGGTTTTTTTTCTAAAGAAATTGAAATGTGGAGTTGAGCGAAACACTGGAAATGCACCGATAAAAAGTGTCATAACAATTGACACACCTGAACAAGAGGCTAGGATACGGCGGTTATAATCAAACCAGACGTGGAGTAGATCATCATCGTTATTTCCAACATCATCACAGAATACAGCCAGGACTATCACATCGAACATAATCAAGGACAGACAGGAACAAAGTCGCAGCAACGAAAAGGAAATTCGCATTGTAAAGTAGTTGAAAGCTAAAGCAGGATATTATGTAAAAGTAGATAAGCCCCCTTAGTCACCGCGAGTGAGGTGCAAATCAAATGGAGAGTCCCCTGACTCGCGGAGACTTTTGTCACCTCACTCGTGGCGCAGAATAGACCTCACAGGCATCGCGGTCGTTATCATTGTCCATTGGACGATTACGACAATCAGATGACAACAAAAATTAACAACGGACCGTATAGTCGCTTCAAGTGGACCCCCAACAGAGCATGGTGAAACACGTGGAGAAAACACTGAAAGAGTGTAAATCAATTGTAGGAGCAGGTCGTTTACGGGAATTCAATCCCATTCTACCCAGGATCAAAGGTCTCCCCAAAGTCCACAAACCGGGGAATGAAATGGAATTTTCAGAAAAATGGGAAGTTTTGAAATTTTGAACATAATCGTAAACACAATATTATTGTATAATTATAATAATTCTACTACTGAAATGACAACTTCAATTCCAAGTTCAGGGAAGCCTTGCCGAAGTTCAGGGAAGTCCTGCTAAAGTTCAGGGAAGTTCTGCGGAAATTCAAAGAAGTTCTGTTGAAGTTCAGGGAAGTTTTTCCGAACTAAAGGGAAGTCCTACCAATGTTCATGGAAGGCCTGCCGAACTTCGGGAAAGTCCTGCCAAAGTTCAGGGAAATCCTGCCGAAGTGATTTATCGACGGAGGTAATAATGCGAAGTCCTTCTTCTTCTTCTTCTTCGCATTTCAAGCTTATTGCATATCGCATATTAGCTTATTGCGTGCTCTCAACTTAGTGTTCTAGATGCACTTTCACAGTTATTAATTGAGAGCTTTCGATGCCTGTACCATTTTTGCATTGGTATAATTGTGTGGCAAGTCCAATCATACTTCTATGCCCAGGGAAGTCGAGAAATTTTCACAACCCGAAAAATTCCTAGACCGGACCGGGAATTGGATCTTCACGAGGTAGTCAAGCGGTATTTCGAGCAGGAAGATACAGGAACCAAGCCGATGATGAAACTGGAATCAGCGGAGGACACGAGAGCAAGGAAGATACTAGCCAATACCACTGTTCGTGTGGACGGAAGAGATACGATCATTTCGAGTTTCCAGCTAGTTACCACATGGCTCTTCGTCGATTGGAGTGCTTGGAACGTAGGATGTTTCGTGAGCCCGAACTGAAAACAAATGTCCTTCGACAGATAGAAGACTACCAGACGAAATGTTACGCGCATCGCGCTTCTGAGGAGGAGCTGAAAAATGCTGACCCACGCAGAACATGGTATTTACCACTCGGCGTTGTGACCAACCCCAAAAAACCTGGTAAGGTCCGGTTGATTTGGGATGCTGCGGCCAAAGTGGACGGCATATCTCTCAACATGGTTCTTCTTAAAGGACCGGATCTGCTGTCTTGTCTGCCAGAGGTTCTATGCCGCTTTCGAGAGAAGCCTGTGGGGGTAAGTGGTGACATATGCGAAATGTATCACCAGTTTCGTATACGACTTGCAGACCGTCCTGCCCAAAGTTTTCTGATGCGAACAGACCCACGTAAAAAACCAGATGTGTACTTCATGGACGTAGCCACCTTTGGCTCCAGTTGCTCGCCGTGTAGTGCCCAGTTCATCAAGAACCGTAACGCAGACGAATTTGCTGTTGACTATCCCAGGGCAGCGGAGGCGATAATCAAGTGTCATTACGTGGACGACTACTTGGACAGCTTCGACACCATCGAAGAAGCTCAACGAGTGGCAGCAGAGGTGAAAATGATCCACGGAAAGGGCGGTTTCGAAATTCGAGTTTGGCACTCCAATTCCCACGATGTGCTGAGCCATCTAGGCGAAACGGTGGCTTCGGAAGTGAAGGACCTGAACCTGGAGAAAACCGAGGGGGTAGAAAAAGTTCTTGGTATGCTGTGGCTCCCAATAGAGGATGTACTGGGATTCTCAGCTCAAATGCGAAAATATATTGCTGCGATTATCGATGAAGGCCGACGACCGACTAAGAGCCAAGTTCTTCGGTGTGTCATGTCATTGTTTGAAGATTTTGATCCAATCGAATCGGAATCGGACTGGGATGAGGAAATTGGAGAGGAAGCTTTCAACCGTTGGCTGAAATGGATAGGAATCTTGAAGCAGGTCGATAATATTCGCATTCCTCGTTGTTACGTTGGTTCAACTGCTTCTACATCACTGCGTTCCGTCGAGCTGTACGTATTTGTAGACGCCAGCGAAGAAGCGTACAGCGCAACGACTTATTTTCGTTTCATTATGGTCAATGGGACCATCATCTGCAGCCTAATATCGGCGAAGACGAAAGTGGCGCCTCTTGGAACTACAAGCGGCCGTCCTTGGGGTTCGACTTGCATCGTTCGTCAAAGATACCTATACTTGATCCGCCTAAAAAAGGGTTTTCTGGTCAGACTCTAGCACCGTCTTAGCCTGGATTTGGTCAGAGATTCGGAGGCAGGATGGACGGAATGGAGCAGCAGGAAACACAGAGTTCAATGCAAAGTTTCCGATAATCTTACCGAAGTCACACCGATTGACAACTCTGATTCTGGACCACTATCACCGTAGAAACCATCATGTGAATCCAGAGACGGTGGTGAATGAGGTAAGCCAGAATTTCTATATTTATCATCTTCGGGCAGCAGTAAGGAAGACTTCTCAACTTTGCCAAAAGTGTAAGGTCTACAGATAACAACCGTCAACGCCAAAAATGGCACCTCTGCCGGTCGCCAGATTAGCACCCTTTGAACGTCCTTTCTCATATGTTGGAGTGGACTAATTCGGCCCGGTGCTTGTGAAGATTGGGCGCGCTCACGCAAAGCGCTGGGTGTCATTGATTACTGTCTGATGACTCGCGCAGTTCACCTCGAAGTTGCGCATAGCCTGAGTACGGTGAGCTGCATAACGTGCTTTCGCCGATTCGTCGGGCGGCGTGGAGCCCCTTTGGAAGTATACAGCGACAACGGCACCAACTTCCAAGGTTCTGAGAGAGTGCTTAGAGAACAGATCTGTAACGGCCTGGCAGAAACATTAACCAATGCCAATACAAAATGTTTGTTCAACCCACCCTCAGCTCCACATATGAGTGGATCTTGGGAGAGGATGGTCCGTTCTATCAAATCCGCCATTGAAAGTATCGACACCAGAAGGCAGCTTAAGGACGAAGGATTCCACACATTGCTAGTCGAAGCGGAAAGTACGGTCAACCCTAGACCGTTAACCTACCTGCCTGTGGAGTCAGAAGAGCAAGAGGCCCGAACGCCAAATCACTTTCTGCTTGGGAGCTCCAGTGGGGTCAAGCAACCAGTCACAAATCCCACAGATCACCGGGACGCAGTCGTAAGCAGCTGGAAGCAGATCCGACATCAGTTAGACATCTTCTGGCGCCGTTGGTGGACGAAATGGTTTATGGGATAAATTTAGAAGCCATCTGCAGTGAAAACATTCCATTTTGTGAAAAAAAAATCACACAAAAAATAGAGGCCAAGGGCGGG